TTACTTTTTCCAACACCTCGATCCTAACCTGATTCTCTGATTCTCTAATTCTCAACAGTGCCACCCTTACTTCTTCTCCTCGTGGTCCCCACAGTCATGTCTGCTGCTGGTGCCGGTCTGCTTCGTAGTAGTGCCACATTCATCCTCGATAAGATCACCGTTCTTCGCCTGTACAAAGACTTGCTGCGCTACTCGAGTCGGCTGCAGTTCACCGACAAGAGCTACTACCTGAACCGTGTTCGGACAGAGTTCCGCAACAACCAGTCTCTGTCGAAGTCAGAGGAAATTCANCGGACAGAGTTCCGCAACAACCAGTCTCTGTCGAAGTCAGAGGAAATTCAATTCTACTACAACGTAAATATGTCTTTCGGTTTTTGTTTCAACCACGAACTTGTTTTTTGTTTTCATTTGCAGAAAGGCGTTGCATTTCTCTCTCGCCAGCGACTTGTCTAGCTGAAATTAAGCTAACTTCTTCTTCTTGATCACTATAAGTTTTATCCTGAATCAATGTACTTCAAATTACTTCGACTGTCGCTGTCCGCTGCTACTACTCGCTACACCAACTTCACCAGTTCATTTTGCACCACTCATCAGCTTTTTAAGTTTGTCCCTGATAAAAGCAAAGTTCCACCGCTTGTAGAAGATGACATTGAAGAGCAGTTTGTCACTGGAAGCGGTCCCGGCGGCCAGAATGTAAATCGACTGCAAAACTGTGCTCATCTGCGACATATTCCCACTGGTAAGTTGATATCTGATGATGATCTTTGTGCTGTCTTTTTTACTACCGAAACTGCTTTTCTACTCTACAGGCATTGTTGTCAAGTGTCATCAAGACCGCACGCTTCAGCGAAACCGCCAACTAGCTCGGCAAATGCTTCTCGACCGTCTCGACCAGCACCTAAACGGCGAAGACAGCGTATCAGAGCAAAAGAAGCGCTACATTCTCACTCGAAAAGCCAATCGTGACCAGAAGGCTGCCGATCGTCGATCGCTTAAAAAGCACTACCAGGAAACATTGAAGCTGAAGCACAGCGCAAGCGAGCACAACTCAGAAGACGAGGAGTCAGAGACTTTAAAGTCCTAAAACTTTCTTCCCAGCACCCCCAGCACACAGTAAAGATGTTCTACACCTGGCACGAGCTGTCCCGGTTCATCTACGCCAC